GAAACGGGTGGAAGAGAGTCAAGCGAGGATGTGCACTAGCACCTGTTGCTGGTACTCCAGGAGTCTGGCGAGGACGCCAAATGACCAACCTGCCCAACAAGCAACGACGGAGGGCGGCAAAGGAGAAGGGGCAGCGTCTGTACCCTCCCCACGTCCGGGAAGCGTTGGAGGAAAGAGGGACTAGCCGACCCAGAAGGCCAGACACCCCGGGCATGTTCTCCTGCTCAGACTTGGGATGGGATAGGGATATGAGGTTGAAGTCACTGGGAAGAGGGCCATGCCCCAAGTCTGGCTATAATGAAAATTGCAGTTGAGGGGAAATGAGAACTACAAGAAAGTGCGTAAAATGTATTTTAAAACACCCTACCAGTTCACCCTCCAGAAACCGTATCTGGACTCTGACCCAGGCAGGTGCAGAATTGAGATCCTTCTCCCCCATCAGGATACCTCCAAATGCCTGTCCCAGTCCGTCTCCTTCCTGGAGTTCCCTCCCAGACTAGGGCCATTTGATGTCACTGAGAACCCAATGTCCCCACCCCTAGAGCCTCAGGGAAATACGATTTCCTGCTCATCTTCCTCACCTTCCCCCCTCCCCCAACTCCGCCACCACCATTTCCAAAGAGTTAGTAAGGCCAGGGTGTCATTCAGGCCCTGGCCAGGCTAAATGCCCATCTATATCGTGTCATTCAGTCTCCTGAATTTCCAACTGTACTGAAGGCTGGGTTACGTGCCCAGACATACTAGGGTGGCCCAAATCCGTGGTCGAAGTCTCAGCAGAAATGGAGACCCGCCCCCAACAAAATGTCTCTTCAGACATCGCAGGTCTCAGGCTGGCTCCATCACCCCAGGGCCACGCTCCAGGCGCAGGGCCTCTGGGGCGTACCCCCAGCCCGCAGCTCTTGCAGGCCGACTCCAGGACCCACAGCCGGCACAACAAATGTTGGCTGCTAGGCGCCCAAATAATATTCTCCATTCGTCTTTTTCAAAGTTGATTTATAGCAATCGACAGGTTAAAGCCTCATCTGACTCCATTACTTTTAAAAGCTGTCTATTTCACAACTGTCACTTTTCATCACTTAACTCAAATAAATACGTGAAGAAATGAATTGGAAGAGACTTTTAGATCATGTTTATAATTCTTGGTCGCTACGTTAACACTCCTAATGACCTGACCCTCTGAATTTCTGTAGACTTCTAAATTGGGCCGAAAATTCCTGCATTTATACTAGAAAACTTCAAGGAAGGTGAGGTGGCCAGAAATATCGGCTAAAAGAAGTGCAGCTGGTAGGGAGTAGGCGGTATTCTGGGCAAAGCTTCCCAGCGGCTGCCAGGGCCCAGGCCGGGTGCCCAAGGCCACTGCGGAGGTTGGCGGTCCTGGGTCAAGGCGTTCCCGTGCAACAAATTGCTGAAAAGAGGGCCCAGCCTAACCGCCACGCTGCTCGCTTTGCTCCCGCTTCGCAGAGCCAGGCTGCAAACCCATGAGGAAATTCATTCAGAATGGAAATGCTGCTCATTTTGACTATTACTATTATTTTTTCTATCGTTTCAAAAACGGTTTTAAATGGCCCCCACGACCACAGGTTGAGTACCTCCGCGTGAAAGGCACTTCGTGCCGGTCATCGTTGACCTAGAGCTTGTTAGAGGGCCAGGGAAGGCAGAAGTGTGGAAACGAAATCGCAAGGATGGAAGTGCGTTCAATAAATCGAAATAGTTTCTTCTTCAATTTTACTGCCATTTGCCAATGCTGGGTCCTCTAAGGCTGGTGGCACCCCCCTTCTCTTTCTCTTTTTCCCACCCACTCACACAGAACCATCTCTTCGAAGTAGGAAAAAAGAGAGAGAGAGAGAAAGAAAGAGAAAGAAAGAAAGAAAAGGAAAAACTAGAAAAGGAAAGGGGGGAAAGTGAAGAACGAAAAGGGAAGGAAAGGAAAAATACAGGAAAAAGAAAAAGAAAAAGAAAAACCTAGCAAACAGGAAAACTGCCTAGTTTGGAGGACAAAGCAATATAAAGTGCATAAGATTTTCTTTCCTTTATTTTTTCTTAAAACAAGAAAAAATAAAGAAGTCTCCCGACCCTGGGGCGGAGGAGTTGGGCGACTCCCTGGCGTGTTAGGGTCTGGCCTCCCCCCAACTGGGCAGAGGCCGAACCCCCGCGCGCGGGTCCCGGAGGCTCTGAGGTCCCCGCACCCTCGCGTCGGCCCCGCCCGGGTCCCACCGCGAACACGAACTTCGCAGATTCCCCGGAGCAACAGAGCCGGGACCGTGCGCCGGGTCTTGACTCCCTGCCGCCGCCAGCCTGCCCCCGGGCGTGGCCTCAGGCCTTCGCCCACCCTGCGGACCGGTTGGCCCAGAGGGTCTGAGTGCTCTCCGACTTTCGGTGCCGAGGCGAGAGAAAGCCGGCGGGAGCCTGGCTCCGCGGCCACTGCCTCGCTGCGGGAACGCGTCGGCGGCCGGCGGCTGGGTGCGCTGCCGTACCCTGGAGCGCCACCTCGCTGCGGAAACTGGAATTGCACGGCCATGCTCCCAGCCTTCTGCCGCCTAACTTGACCGTCACCGGACTTTCCCCTTCATCAAAACCTTAAGAGAAGCCGAAACGCACAGGCCTTCTTCCAATCGGTTAAAAGCTATTATCTGTGACCGACATATCGCACAATGTCTGCACTGGGATGAAGGGAAAATAACAGGAGAAAGAGAAAAATACATAGGTACAATTTCACCGAGTCTAAGCAGTGACGCTGCTTTGATAGGAAAGATAAAATAAATGAGAGATGTCTTCTTGGAGGCCATGAGTTCGGGCCGCCAAGTGCGGGCCACTCAGCTGAGGCCAATGCAAATATTTCGAAGGAGGCCTATGAAGTCATCCCTTCCCAATTACAATTCCACCCAAATTCACTCATTCTGGTGGGTCGGACATTAGAGGGGCTCTGCCAGGCCATGCCAGTGGTGAGCCTACCAAACCTCGTACCCCCACAGCCTTGGGCTCTGCTGACAAAGTCACCACAAAATGCAGCCCCTATACATATACACCTGTCGGCAGGTGAAAGCAGCGACGGCGAGAGGTACAAATTACAGTGCATTTGACCCTATCTCATCCAGGTGGCATCTTAAGAGGTTTGCCCCACTCTTAAGCCCCCACGACTAAAAAATAGACAGAAACATTAATTCACTTATATGGTGAGTCTTTGCTTCAATTTGTTTTCAAAGTGCATCATCCCAGAGATAAATGTTATAGGTAAAAACAAATTTCACGAAACAAGATGTTTTTTCTGTGAAGATTCCAAACATAGTGTTAAAAGCAGGGAGTCTATCTTGTGGTCCTTAGAGAATTTGTGCAGTTTCTTTATTTTGAGGGGGGCATAGTCCTTTTTCTAATGTAGTTTTAACTACAAGTTTGTTTTTGGTTTTGTTTTAAGGAGCTCAGGGGATCCCACATAGAATGATGACTGAACTGGGGACCATGGGGGTGGGGGAGAGTGTGTACGTGGTAATGTATAAGCCCCTGCATTTTCCTGCCTGAGCAAACCCAACATATAGACGCTTTCTTGAATCTTTGCCCTCCCTAAGTTCACAGGGTGGCGATGGAGGGAGTGCTCCCTTGCCCTGTAACCAACCCTCCCCACTGCAGATTAGGAGACTCTCAGAGAGCCCCCCACCCTTGCTCAAAAACTACAGGGCTGCGCCAGGAAAAAAACCACGTTGGTTTTCTTGTTGTTTATCCCTTCTCCATCAAGCTAGATTCTTGACAGACCAAGCAGGAAAGAGGCCCCAATTTCTTAGCAGGACTTGAATGAGGATCCCTCACCCTGGCCAGCTGAGGAGGGGTGGCCTGGTCTCTGGGAGTCTTGGGGGTTTTCTTGCCTGGAGGGATGCTACCTTGGGGAGAAGGAAGCTGTTGAGAGATCTTGGGAGCTAAAAGGCAACAGCTGGGAGGGTCCTGGGATCCACTGAGGGACAACAGTGAGGAACAGGGACCAAAACAGAAGAGAGTAGAGCATTAGAAAATGAAATGCTTGAATCTACCTGCCTACAGTTTTGAGAAGGGGAGTCTCTAAATTAGAAAGGTTTGCCTCTCTCCCTCTCCCTCTCCCCTTCCCTCCCTCCTTCTTTACCTCTCTTCATTTCTCTCTCTCCCACCCCCTCCTCTTCTCACATTCAGATTTTCTGGTTTTTTTTTTTTTATTTTTTTCCACGGAATAATGCCTGGAGATGAAAAATGATTTTTATTGCTATTACACTTCCTACCGCAAGATGCAGCGCAAGGCGGCAGAGTTTGTATTACAACTATGTCAAAATGTTTCACTGATGCAAAACATGTAGCCAGAGGGTGTTGCTAATGACTCCTGGATTAGAGCGAGATTGAGCCTGAGAAGGAGAAGAGTGAGAACAGGAGAGACAGAGGAAGGGAGAAGAGAGAGGAATTTCATTAGAGAAAGGGAGGAGGGGAAATACCATAGAATCAGGTCTAATAATCTGATCAGGATATTTTCAGATTTCAGTGCTCTCTCCAAACTTGAGAGTGAGCTAGAGAGAGACCAATATCCTTTTAAGCACCACAGAGGGTTTTTTTTTTTTTTTTTTTGCATGTTAATAACTATTAATTATGCTTACAGCCAGTTAGCTGAAGAATTGTCCTTTGGAAAGAATCAAACTTTGGAAAACGCTTAATATCTGATTAAAGGCTTTTCCTGGAGCCGAGGCCGCTCGGAAGGAGGTGGGGACCCGGTAATCACCCAAGGGGGTGCGGAGCGCAGCGAGGCCTGCCGAGGCTCACGGGCCCCGCCCGTGGTGGTGCCACACATGTACACACGCCTGTGACAGCCTGGTGGGCCCAGGGTGGCCCGCCGGGGCCGGGGCGGAGCGCCGAGGCGCAGCCTGCGGCGCGGGCTCGGGCTCGGCCTCTGCTTGGTCTTGGCGGAAAGGTCCCTCCGGGCTCCGATCTCCCCGGCGCCCTCCCCCGGGACGAGCTCTACTTAGGGAAGCGGGAGGTTTCGCGGTTCCTACCGTGGCCCAGGCCGGTCCCACCGCCCTGCAGTCCGCTTCTGCCCCCCGGGGCACAGCGAGGAGGGCATTCCCTCGGGGCTGCGGCCCTTTGAACCCGGGGAGCCCTCGGCTCCCGCCCGGGCGCGCGGAGCTCGCTCGGGGCCCGGCTGCGGAGCGGAGTGTGGGTGGCGGGTGGGGTTGAAGGGGAGTGG